GTCAGGGAAATCAGGGAAAAGTCAGGGATTTTTATTAAAGTAACTGGAAAAAATTGAATTTTGGAAAAGTTACAAATGATTGCAAAAATTCAATTATTTTCAAAAGTAATAATAAAATTCTTTGCAAAATTTCAATTATTTTCGAAAAATTTTTCTCAATTCAATGATTTTCAATATCTACTCTTATAATAAAATTTTTCAAAAGAATTCAATTATTTAAAAAAAATGTTGATAAAATTCTTAGCAAACTTTGCAATAATTCATTTTTTCCAGTAAATAATAACATTTTTTACAAAAATTTAATTATTTTCATGAACAATAAAAATCATCATAGAATTTCAACTATTTTTAATTTAATTGAATTCCTTGAAAAATTTAATTATTCTTGAAAATTTTATTAAAATTTCTCGAAAAAATTTAAATTTGTTGATAAAATTATTTATGATAATTCGATTTCGAGAAACATTCATTTATTCAATAAATTATTTATTTTTGTATTTAAATAATTGAATTCTCGGAGAATTTTATTAATTTATGAAAATAATTGAATTCTTGCAATGAATTCGTGAAATGTAATTAAATTCTTACAAAAAATTTAAGAAAATAATTTTATTTTTCTAGGGATTTACTTTAAATTGTTTTATTAATAATTGAAATCCTCAGAAAAATTTTATAGTTTATGAAAATAATGGAATTCTTAAAACGAATTTTATCAATTTTTTTAAAATAATTCAATTCATGTCGAAAATTATATTACTTGTAAAAATAATTGAATTTGTACAACGAATTTTATTACATTTTATTTAAATAATTAAATTCTTTTGAAAACTTTTATTTAAATTGTAAATTTTGAAAATTATGCAAATAATTTCATTATTTGTAAAATGTACCCTAATTTAATTCTTGCAAAAAATTTTTAAAGATAATTTTTATTTTTCGAGAAATTTATTTAAAATTGTATTAAAAATAATTAAAACCCTGTGAAGAATTTTATTATTTATGAAAATAATTGAATTCTTGCAACGAATTTTATTAGAATTTTTGTAAATAATTTAACTCTTTTTAAAAAATTTTAAGGAAATTAAAATTTTTATAAAATATGAAGATATTCTTATAAGTTGAATTTAAAAAATGTTTGAATTTGAATATTTAGAATAATTATAATTCCTATAAAAAAATAATTATTAAATACTCATTTACAAATTTAGTTATTGATGTTTGCAAATAATTTTACAATTTAAGAAATTCGTAAGTAAATGTAATATAGAATGTTTTTTTTAGTGTAATAATTTTTAGAGTGAATCAGAATATTCTTTAGGGTCAGGGAAAAAGTGAAAATTTTGTCTGGAAATCAGGCAAAAACAAAATTAATTTTTTGTGGCAATCCTGTTTTATTATAATTCCAACTATTTTTATTGGCATAATTATTTTCTTCAACATTTTTTTAAAGTTGTAATATTAATTTTTTATTGTTTGTAACTTTATTTGCCTATTATTTATCATTTTATTTATTAATTAACAATTTTAATAGATTACCATTTCCGATGGTGTGAAATATTCGGATTTAAATATTTCTTTAAACTTTTGCAATGACGTTGCTTTCATTTCTCTTCCCCAAGACGTCTTTGAAAATGTCTTTAGCTTAAACCGAGGATCCAAAATTAGGACTACACAATATATCCAATTAGATTTATTATAATGTTTCATCAATTTATCCAATCCTACATTAAGAGCTTTCAAAATGTTTTCTTCAACCGCATTTTTCTGGACTTTTTCATCTAAAATTTTAATTGAACTCTCGATCTTATCCAAAAGCATGTTGAATCCTACAATAACTAGGTTCAAGGTCGGGTAGTTTTCTCCACTAAATGAGGTAGTTAAAACCTTAAAGTGATTTAAATGCTTGTTAATTTCCTGCAATAAGACCCATTCTTCTTCGCTGATCATTAATTTTCGCAAATCTGAATTATTTTCTGTTAATAAATTTATAGCTGGGCGTATACGAATAGCTAAATTTATCATTGCACATGTCGAATTCCACCTAGTTTTTACGTCAATGTTGGGTGCTAACATTTTTATGCCACAAATTTCGCAACAGGATTTTAGTTTGCTAGTCCATTGTTCGGATCTCCTTAGAACAGTAAATAACTTTCGAAGTCTGGACAGTGGTGAACCAGTTAAGCGTGTTCTGATATCATTTAATACCTCATCAACTCCACCTTCATCTTCTTGATTTTCCTCATCTAAATCCATTTCTTCGACATCATTTTCATTCATTTTTTCTTCACACTCATCATCACTGACATCAGCAAGATTCAATATTTTCAACATACTTTGTACCGCAATGTTGAAAATATGCGCATAGCACTTGAAGTGTTGGTTTTCATAATCGAATGCCATCAGAAGAGATAACTCAAACATAAACCGATCATTTGCTGATGTATTGTCAAGTGTTATGCCCAAAACTTTAGATTCTATTCCGTAAGTATCAACTGCATCGTGAAAACATTTCGCTAAATCCTTCCCAGAATGAGCACCATAACAAGGACAAAAATCAATTACAATTGAGTGCAATATCCAATCATCGTCAATAAAATGACACGTTATTCCGTTATATCCACGATGAGTAATTGCAGTCCAACCATCCATAGTGAATGACATTTTAGATTTATTGTTTTGAAAGATTTTTTGAAGACTCAATTGCATTTTCGAAAACCTGTCTACAACCATACTTTTTAAACGATTACGTTTAGGAATTTTAGCCAAGGGATTCATAAAGCAGAACAATTTTTGTGTTGTATCGTCATCGAAGAATCGAAACGGGAGATATTTTATCGCCACCCAATCCACTAACATCTCGTCCAGTTTTTCTTGTTGAAACACCTAATTATTATTTATATTTTAGTAATATTTAATAGTAAATATATTTTTAGTATTTATTTTTTTAGTTATATTTGTTTATATTTCTCGGTTATATTTTTCATTTTTTATTATTTCATGTGTAAATATATCATGATGTTAATAATAGATTAAATAATTAATTATTTATAAACACTTTTAATAGAAAGAATTATTAAAAATATTCTAATAAAATAATTAATTACGAAAATAAATGTTATATAATATAATAAACAAATAAATTATAATTATAAATAAAAAATTTACTTAAATGATTTCTTAATCAAAGGTTATATAATTAAATATTATTCAAACTAAAAAATTACATTTTCAGTGTCCTCAACATAAGTGTCTTTAAATACATCTGGATGTGCCTTTTTTAGATGGCGTTTGATTCCGGTTGTATTGCTATTCTTCATCTTAATAGGTTTCGCATTTTCTAAATCTTTCAAAGAACACATTTTACATTTTGCCCATTTCACCCTTTCCTCATCAAAATAAAATTCAAAAGATTCATCTAAAGGTTTTTTATTCAGTCTTCGACGCTTACTTTGGTGAACAGTGTCTTCTTTCTGATTTTGATCACTGTGTAATTACATACAGGTTAAAAATTACAATGCTTTTAAAAAGAATAAATAAAGACATATAAAATAACAGGTTAGAAAATACTTGGATGTGTAAATTAAATTCAAAATTCAAAAGATAAAAATACAAGAATAGAAATAAGAATGTAATGTAAAAATGAAAAGTGTTTTTAGTTTCCATAATTAAAAATTAATATAAATTTAAAAATGTTTCAAAATTTAATCAATACAACATTAAAAAAACTAATTTACTCTAAAGAAGTTCCTTGTGATTCGTTTTCCATTTTTCAATAGTCTGAAATATTTTTCACAGTATTTTGATAATATTTTGACAGATTTTGAAATAATCAGAATCTTGTCAAGAATCTTGAGTCTTGACACAACATTAAATGTTGAATAAACAATTGAATGAGCGAGAAGTTTGTCGTTTCAATTTCTTGTCATTCGAACAAAATACTACAAGCCAAACGAACATATCGGCTTGACGTGCAACACTACTCCTAGTTCGCAAATATGTCCGTCAATCGGGTTCGCTATATTTTTCATGTAATCTGCATTTGAAACTGAAGATCTCTACCGAATTTCAGCTCACTAGGTTGAGATTTGTAAAAGTTAACCGCAGGAACAGAGTCATTTTTTGTAATTTTTTCAAAAAAATTGAATTTCTTTCCCTCCTAGTTCGCAAATATGTCCGTCAATCGAGTTCGCTATATTTTTCCTGTAATCTACACTTGAAACTTAAGATCCCTACCGAATTTTAGCTCATAATGTTGAGATTTGTAAAAGTTAAGGGGGGGGACAGGGTCATTTTTAGCATTTTTTTCGAAAAAATTGAATTTCTTTCCCTCCTATTTTGCAAATATGTTTGTCAATCGGGTTCGCTATATTTTTCCTGTAATCTACACTTAAAACTGAAGATCCCTACTGAATTTCAACTCACCAGGTTGAGATTTGTAGAAGTTAAGGGGGGGACAGGGTCATTTTTTGCAATTTTTTCAAAAAAATTCAATTTCTTTCCCTTCTAGTTCCCAAATATCTCCACCAATCAGGTTCGCTATATTTTTCCTGTAATCTGCACTTAAAACTGATGATCCCTACCGAATTTCAGCTCACTAGGTTGAGATTTGTAAAAGTTAAGGGGGGGGACAGCCCATTTTGCGTAGCTGGGACGGACACACGAGTGATTTCATAAGGGTTCCGTCAGTACACCTATGGTGTACGGAACCCTAAAAAAGAAAAAAGATTAAATTTATTTAAATCTTAAATAATAAATAAGAATTGGGGAAACTCAAATAACATGATACTAGAACTAACTTTGCGCGCTACGCGCGCCCATTACATCATTTCAACTTGAACAACTATTATGAAATGAAATTGTGCCCATATCATCTGTTACAACTATTGTGATAATTAAATATTTTAAAATAACCGAATTTTCTTTCCCTGTTTATTATTCCATATTTTAATATTTATTAACATAAGACTTGACAATTTAAAAAAGTGTGTTATCTTGAACTTTTCTTGAATTTATTAAATTTAACGTTTGATAAATCATAGAGCTACAGAGTTAATAAACATTACAGTATTATATTAAAAATATATATTCACGCTTGCACATATATGAAATTATAAATGCATGAAATGAAAATTAATTCAAATTCAGAATATAATTATTTTATTTAGTAAACCTATTCTTTAAAGACACGTGAAAATTCTTTGTGTAGAAAATTATTGTCTTGCTTGACAATTTTACATATATGCATAATAATTTTCATCACCATTCGTTTCTATCACAAATTCTATAACATGATAAGATGTAACATTACTTATATCAATATAAAATAAACTTAAATATTTTAAAGAAATTTAGAAGATCAGTTCAATAAATCGATTTTCATGTGGAAGCATGCGATAATACCAGTCAAGTAGTAGTGAATGTTCGAGAGCTATTCATTGCAACTTGACTGGTATTAACTCAGGTGATCGCACGTACATATTAATTTGACTGAATTCTTCAATTAATATGTCAATTAATAGTAAATAATAAGTATAATAATTATAAGTAAATAATACAATAGCATTAACAAGTAATATATTATAAGTCTTAGTTTCTCGTCTATATGCTATATCAGTCTTATCAAATTTGGCTTATTATTACTTGACTGCATTAGAGCTTGCAGCCAATCGCGGAAACGCTGATTTCTTTTATCTATTTAATTTCGATATATTTGATCGACTTGATTCATTTTTAGAATGCATTATTGAAAAAAAATTGAAGTCTCTCACATCACAAAGTATGTTTATAATGATATTAACTAAACAAAACAGTTTCATTAAGAGACCTACATATCAAAATATGAGGCGTTGATTGAAAAGAAAATAGATTGAAGTTAATGAAAAGAAACATTTGAAATTATATAATTAAAGAAAAGAATTAAGATATTTTATGATAAAAAAACAAGCATTATAAGTAATGCTAATCAAACGAAAAATGAAATTAAACAAATGAAAAACTATGTCCGTATTCAATTGGAATGTTTACATGAAATATCGAGGTCACGCAAATTTCATTTTATTCAACGAATTCCTTTTTTATTCCCTTCGTCTTAAATTGGAAGGTTCTTCCCCGGCTTGGAATATTCTTCTCATTTCTCGAAAACCGCTAAGAAGTTCTGGTAAAGTCATTATCGCATCATCAACAAGCTCAATATCACTTTCGTCGTCTGTTTGTAAAAATATTCTTGGACCTGTAAGAAAATTATGTTTTTTTTTCACCGTTATTCAAAAGTCTTGTAATATAAGGAATCTCCTTTAACAGATATTGACAAAGTAATTGATAATTACTTAAAATTAATTTATCTTAAAAAATATTAACTTATTAACAATGGTTTATAGAGTGTGCTTGCTAATTATGTTTTTTTTATTATTATTTTTTATTATTTATTTTATTTTTGTTTATTCTTTAATGTTTATTTATTTTTATTTATTTTAGTTACAGTTTACAGAGTTTACTGAATCGTATATATGAACACAAAATCTGTACAAATTTTGTTGATTGTCTAAAAAATTGTTTTTAGTCGTCTTGCACTGCATAAAAAGTCGGAAAAAGCCTAATTTTTAAATCCTATTAAATGTAATTAGTTAATAATTTTTTATAATTGACTTAGTATTAAATGTGAAATCAGGGTTGCCATGCAACCTGAAAACAATGAAATATCTCGAAAATTGTAATTATTCTTAAAATTTTTATTAACATTTATCAAAGAAATTCAATTATTTTAAACATCCTTCCTACAATTTATTGATTATAATTTAAGTATTATTAGCAATAAATTTTTAATTAAATTTCTTAAAAGAATTAAATTATTTTTAAAAATTTTAATGAAATTCTTTTTAACAATTCAATTTTTTTCAAAATAATTTTAATAAAATTTTTCCCATAAATTTAATTAATTTCAATAATTTATCAAAATTCAATTATTTTTCAAATCTACTATTTCAATAAAATTTCACAAATGAATTCACTTATTTTAAAAAGAAATATATTATTAAAATTCGCCTGAAGAATTCAATTATTTTAAAAAGCAATAAAAGTCATCGCAGAAATTAAAATATAATCGAATGTTTAAATAACAAAATATAATTATTTTTAAAAAATTTCTTAAAATTCCTCGAAAGAATATGAATTATTTAAAAATTTGTTTATAAATTCTTTTCAAGAATTCAATTATTTTCAATACAATTTTAATAAACTTTCTCAACAATATTCAAATATTTTGAAAAAATTTTAATGAAATTCTTCGAGAGAATTCAATTATTTTCAAAAACTCTGATAAAATTCTTTATACGATTTGAATTATTGTCATCACAATCTTAGTTAAATTTGTTGAAATATTTTAATTTTTTTTAAAAGTTCGTAATAAAATTCTTTAAAAAAATCAATTCTAAAAAAATTTAATAAAATTATGTAAAGAATTCAATTATTTTCAAAAAATTTAATTAAATTCTTGGCAAAATGTCAATTATTTTCAAAACCTTTTTTCAATTCAATCAAATTTTTTTACAGAGATTCAATTATTTTTAATACAATTTTAATTTAATTGCTCCAAAAATGAAACTATTGTCAAAAATTTTCTTAAAATTCGTCAAAAGAATTTTAATTATTTAAAAATTTGTTGCAAAATTCTTTATGAAAGTTCAATTTTAAAAAACATTCAATTATTCAATAAATTATTTATTTTTGTATTTAAATAATTGAATTCTCGAAGAATTTTCTATTAAAAATTTATTTAAATATGCATTTCAGTTAAAATTTTGGATAATAATTGAATATTAAACTTTCTAAATTTGAGTTAGTGACTGACTTTATGTTTTTGAATTATAGCAGATTTTATCAATACATAGTCGTTTCTACTAATTTAATAGTAAAATTTACTAATTCAAAAGCAAAATGTCAGTAACTAATTCCAATTAGTAAACAATTTTACTAATTAAAATTTAAAGAGAAAGTATTATAGCGTGAATTTTTAGAAATAATTGAATTTTTAAAAGGTTTCAAATTATAATCTTTGAAAGTTTGAATTTTTCATACTTTTAACCAAAAATTGTGTCGGTTTAATTTTTTTAAAAATTTTATTGGAACTTGTTTGAAATTATTTGGTGTTTTTATTTTCTAATATATATTTAATTTTTAATTGAAGCGTTTTGTGCAGAAACAGCATAAGTCCATAATTCGAAATTGTTCAGGAATCAATAAAAACTGTTTTTCTCGTAAATGTTAAGATTTTTTTTAATTTGGCTTTTTGCTATATATTCTACTAACCTATAAGTTAGAAAATCCAATATGATTGATTAATTATCTATTTAATATAAAATTTAAAAAAATAAATTAACATTTAGACTTATGCTGTTTCTGCACAAAATGAAATGAAAAACACAGAAAATTTATTAAATCCAGTGAAATATCAAAGTTTTATGAAATATTTAATAACATTTATTTAAAATATTAAATTTGGATAAATTTTAGTAACATTTTATAAATAATAAAATTGTTTTAAGAATAAATTTAACAAATTTTCAATTTTTTCTAATTTTAAAATAATTCTGTCACCACTGTCACTTTTTGCTTCCCATGAGTGTTTTTATTTATAATATAAACTGTTTAATATAAAGTATTAAAATACGTCAAGAATATCACAAATAAATATAAAACTTATCATGGACTTGTGCTGTTTCTGCACAAAATGATATTTTAATTATTTTTTTAAAGGGTTTAGAGTTTAGTCACTTATGTAATATTTTACCAGATTGAAAAGCTTCATTTAAAGTTAAATTTTCAATAAAAAAGTGATTTTCGAAAAAAATGAACTTATACGGATTTCTGCACAAAAAGCTTCAATTATTATAACAATTTTTAAAAATTTTTTAATTTTAAAAAGGTTTGAATTTGAATGTTTTCAAGAATTTTAATTCTTATGGAAAAATAATAATGATTAAATATTTATTTAAAAAAGAAGCAATAGAACATTTTTCTGAGTAATAATTTTTAAACTGAATGAGAATATTTTTATTAAGTCAAGGAGAAGTAAGAATTTTGTGTGAAGTTCAAGGGAAAATCAGGGAAAAGCAAAATTTAATTTTTGTTGTCAACAAATGTAGTTTTAAAAACCTGGAAAAATTCCATTTTTTAACCTGGAAAACCTGGAAAAGTCACGGAATTTGAAATGAGCAAAAGCTTGGCAACCCTGGAAATTGTTTGGTCTTAAAGATTATTAAAAAAAAAAAAAAACAATAACAATTTTTTTTTTCTTAAAGATTATTATTTATTATTACAGTGCCGCTCAATAACTTTTGCCCACCCTACAGCGATTAACCAGTTTACAAAAAGTTTTGTATTTTGTTTATTATTAAAGTTAAAAAGTTCAAAAAGGTCTTTCTAAAATTTACCTTGATTACAAATTCTTCCGGTCACAGATACATGTTGCCCTTTCTCGAAATTTGATACTCCTCTGAAGGACGCGATGCGTACCTCCAATTTATGGGAACCGTTTGTTATGGATCCACATCCATACGTTCCAAATTGCTGTCCTACTCCAATCCTTTGCTTCACAAAATTAGTCTTGAGAAATGCAATCACTCCTATTAAATACAAAAGTAATTATGTCAGAAATAATATATATATATATAGTACCGCTCAATAACTTTTGCCCACCCTTCAGCGATAAAACATTACAAAAAGTTTTGTACTTTGTTTATTATTAAAGTTCAAAAGTTTAAAAAGGTTTCCTCTTAAAGCTCTTTTCCTAAGCTTTAATATTATAAAAAAACAGAAATTAAAAAAATAGATTTGTTAATGTTTAAAAAATGTTATTGCAATATAAAATATTTTAATTTTTTTTGTTTTTTTAAAAGTGGTGCAGTTTTTTAGAAAATCATCGCATGTAAATCGCAGTTATATATAATAGTATAGTAAGCAGCAAGTGTATAAAAAAATATACAATATTTTTTTTAGAAAAAATTTTTTTAACGTATTTTTAAAAAAAAATTTCTTGCATTCCTTATATTTTTAAATATTAATTGTAGAAATTTGCAACTCTTACTTACGACAACAAAAATATAAATTTATTATCGTATATATGTAATTATTTTCAACTAATAAATTATTTAAATAACTTTTGATAATATAATTAATTTTATTGTTTGTAAACTGATCAAAAGTTATTTAAACAATTTCTGAGTTGAAAATAATTAAATAAAAATGATTAAAAATTTATTTCTTTGTTGTGGTAAGTAAAAGTTGCAAATTTCTACGATTAATACTTAAAAATATAAAAAATGCAAAAAATTTGTTTTCAAAAAATACGTTAAAAAAATTTTCTATATTTTTTTTGATTCTACATGTAAAAATAAACAATTTATGTTCTTAAAAAAGTTTTTTTTTTAAGAGGAGACCATTTTGAACTTTCTAACTTTAATAATAAACAAAATTCAAAACTTTTTGTAAAATTTTTAATCGCTGTAGGGTGGGCAAAAGATTTTTAAGCGGCACTGTATATATATATTATTATTACTTTAATTTGAGAAAAAAATATAAATTATTATCGTAAAACAGAATTATTGAACATTATTAATCACTAAATTTAGTACTGTAATATTTGTAATTGAAGATAAAACTAAATAATAAAAAATTTATTCGATAACTAATTAATAGGTAAGAAATGTCACATTTAATAAAATTATTCGTAAAATGTATTTACTAATAGTTTTTGTTGAATCGAAATGAATGACATTCGGCAAATCCACTATTTCAAAATCCTGATTCTCAATAGCTACCAAATGCTGTCCTAAGGAGTTGATAATTGTACTGGAAAATAATTGTAGTTCAAAAGGAACATTTCCCTTATTAAACTCAACTCTTGAAGGCACTCTTGCCCAAGCCCCATCGATATGCAATATCTACAAAATGAATAAAGTTAATAAAATGGAAAATTATTTTTAATACGTGGGTAATTAAAAGAATAAAATAAAAACGTCACAAACAGAAACGACTTGAATAATATACCTCATGTAGAACAATATGATCTTCCAAAGCATTAATGTCTGTAGGCCCCCAAACGACGCATTGAATATATTTTCCATTTTGGTTTGACAGATAGAATTTCAATAATTCAGTGGCACCTGTCGCTTTTCTAGGAATGATATTCTCAACAGAACCAATAATTTCTCTGAAATTTAAAAAATATGAAAAAAATATAAGACTTAATGTCATAAAAGTATTTAGTTTAATTTGTATAAACGTATATATTATAAAAATCTGTGTAAAAATAAAATTTAAATTTGTAATTAATTAAAGTAATTCAATTGCAATTAAAATATATTGTGTAAAATCAATACTTAGTCCAAAAAAATAAAGTTTTGAGTTAGGAAACTTTTCAACAGTCAAAAATTTTGCATAACATCAAAAATAAATTTTCTAAAATTTTAGAAACTTAATTGATCTTTTTATTTTAAAAATGCGTTGTAATTTCAAATTTTTATCATAAAAGTGTTTTATATAACAAATAATAACTTGTCGAAAAATAAAATGCTTTAATTTTAAATGATTTTTAATATAAAAATTTTAATGTATACTGGAATTTAAGAATAAATCGATTAGTTTTACGTAACGTACACTGTTCTATCCCAAAATTGGATTTCTTCTATTTCTTCGGACGAGGTAAACGAGACAGCCATGTTACAAAAAATTTTAAGAATCTGCAAGAGAATGTTGAAAATATTTTTTATTCACATGTAGAACATTTTCTAAACAAATAAAAAATAAATGTATAAACAATTTCACAAAACAACTAAAAAAATATTAATTCAATTTTTTAAAATAACATAATGTTTTCAATTTTTATATTAAACGAAAATAAAAAGTAAAATATTAATAAAAGTTAAATTATTATATTATACAATGTAATTAAATATCCCTGCATATCTGAATTAGTAGAATTCTACCAAGAAACAGTAAAATTTTACTAATTTTTAGTACTTTTCATGGAAGACTTTTCCCCTTTTCAATTAGTAGAATATTACCAATCTTTAGTAATATTTTACTAATGTTTTAGTAGAATTCTACTAATCAATTAGTAAAATCTACTAATAATTAATAAAATTTCACTATTTATTAGTAAAATTATTACTAAATCATTTGATGGAAGACTTTTCGTCATTTCATTAGTAACTTTCTACTAATTCAGATTTAGAGAGCAATAATTGAGTCAAGAAAACTGAATTTATAAATAATTTAGTTTCCAGTAATAGCATTTACAAAAATTAAATATTGCTTCAGACGAGGTAAATGAGACAGCCATGTTACAAAAAATATTAGAATCTGCAAAAGAATGTTAAAAATATTTTTTATTCACATGTAGAACATTTTTTAAACAAATAAGAAATAAATAAAAAATAAATATATAAACAAAACCACAAAACAACTGAAAAAATATTATTTAAATTTTAAAAATGACATAATGTTATCAATTTATTATTATTAATAATTTATTTATTTAATTATATTATTATTATTATTATTTTATTATTTATTTATTTATTTATTTATTTAATTTATTTAATTTATTTATTTTTATTTATTTTTATTTATTTTTTTATTTATCAATTTATCAATTTTTAAACGAGAATAAAAAATAAAATATTAATAAATGTTAAATTATTATTATATTATACAGTGTAATCAAATATATCCCTGCAATAATTAACACAAGAAAACTGCATTTTATGGAGTTAATTTACTCCATTTTTAAATAATTTAGCTTCCAGTAATAGCATTTAAAAAAATTAAATATTGTAAATTTTTTAATATTGAATTGAAGTAAATAATTTATAAAAATTATGAAATAATTAAATTTAACGTTACTAATATATGATCAGTTTCGAAAAATAATTATCGTATAAAATCTCTGTAAATTAATTTATTTTTAAAAAAATATAATTGAATGTTTGAAACCAGTAAATATAAAGACCATCTAGTTTGAAATTTATTCAATTAAAAAATCCTAAAACCTCAAAAAATTCTAGAATTAACAATCATTTCATTTGTATCACTATATACAACCAAATTTAATTATAATTCTAGTTAAGAATTATTAGTCTATAAGAAACCTTTTTCTAATAGTTAAAGAATAAAAATAATTTAAATAATTACATAATATGTTTTTCTTAAATTTTATTTTTTTATAAAACAAAAAAAGAAAAATTAGATATATTATAAAATATTTGGTTTTAATAATTTTGTATAAAATTTAAACGATAACTAAAAATTATTCATACATTTTGTAATATTTTAAGAGATTATTCATACAATTTAGTTATATTTCAAGAGAAAAAGAGATCAAGTTATTTGTGATATCCAACAGGGAAAATGTCGATATGTACACATCAGTGTATATAACATGAGTAGAGGTGAAAAAGGTTGAAAATGAGCATCAGAACTGTAAACATAATTCATGGATGACCCCTTCCATTATTAGAATATACATTTTAACACAATTTTTATCAAAATAATAATCAGAATTTGTAAAATAGATGTTTTCAAAATATGGAATATTTATGAACAATTTTGAAAATTAAGTACTTCTAGTATAAGTATATCGAAAATGAAAACTTGAATTTATATAAAAAATCAGAGGACAATCTATAAAATCTGTATAAAAATAATTCCAACAAAATATAATTATTTGTAATATTAATATATCAAGTTATTGTCTATTTAATATTTATTAGAAAAACTGTATCTTTATAGAAATTATATATGCAAAAATCTAGCCGTGAATTAATCATTGCGACTAAGGCACATATATATCAGTATATCAGTTACATATATATATATATATATGCATGTGTGTTGAGTTACATGTATAGATATGAAAATTAACGTATAAATTTATTAAATAGTTGTATATTTTTTAAATAAATTAGAAATATATACCATTGACAAACATTATAGATTCTAATTTTTAATATTTTAAACCTCTAGTTATTTAAAATAGCCAATTATAAAAATATAATTCAAAGTTTTTCAAGATACGTAAAATACTAATATAACGTTAAATAATTATAGTTTATAATTAAATAAAACATTAATAATTATTATCATGCGTATTTAAATGAAATTGTTTATAGTTATATACCAAATTGTTTACTCACCTTACGATGTAAGTCGATTACAAAATTTTTGTCTAGAGAAATGCACATGCGGTTCACACAATCAGATTCTTCTCACTATACTGTCAAGGTACACTACACAAGTCCTTATATTATGAATAATAAAGATCGCTAGATGCTGGTAGTAATGGATAACTTTAGAGGTTTTCCACCAGATGTCAGGTCATGCTACATACACTCAGTGTTGGGCAAGTAAAATACATCAAGTAAATTAGACTGTTTCATTTGTGACGTCACAGTAGATTCGAGATATGAAGTCAAAATAATGGAGAGACAATAATGTAGGCAACACAATGCTGTTCCTAGGTTGTGTCAAAAACAACTATACTGTACTGTAGTGCAAAATTAAAAAAAACTGCCACCCTACAAGAAAAAACATGAAGGCATGAGCAATATCGAATATTGAAGTTATCAGTTTGCAATAAGAAACTCGAATTGCGATTAGCAATCTCGAGAAGCGATAAATCGAGAGCAAAGACATATACATGGAATTTAATTCATGTTGAATTGATGGCACCAACTTTTATTTTTGAGCATAAAAGATAGTACAGAAATAAAAAAGTAATTAATTTTAATATATTCCATAGTAATTTAACTACACGATATTAGTATACCTGAATTCTACAAATTACTGTTTTAATTAAATATGTTAATTTAAATTTATATTTTTTAATTAAAGCGTTAAAAAGTTGTATTTCTAATAGTTTTTTCAACATTTATTTTTGAAGTACGGTAAATGAGGAAGCACCCAAACAAATTGAAATATTAATTAATTTAAAATTTCAAAGAAAATTGACTGGGAGAATTTTCGGACGAGAAAAACCTCAATTAAATTAAAAATATTATTCTTTGCAACGTTTAACATTGTCCTGAGACGTTTGACAAATCATAGAGCTAAAGAGTTAATAAACATTAGAGTATTATATTTGAAATATATATTCACGCTTGCACATATATGAAATTATAAATGCATAAAATGAAAATTAATTCAAAAATCAGAATATAATTATTTTATTTAGTAAACCTATTCTATAAACAAATGTGTAAATTCTTTGTGTAGAAAATAATTGTCTTGTTTGACAATTTTACATATATGCATAATAATTTTCATCACCATTCGTTTCTATCACAAATTCTATAACATGATAAGATGTAACATTACTTATATCAATATAAAATAAACTTAAATATTTTAGAGAAATTTAGAAGATCAGTTCAATAAATCGACTTTCATGTGGAAGCATGCGATAATACCAGTCAAGTAGTAGTGAATGTTCGAGAGCTATTCATTGCAACTTGACTGGTATTAACTCAGGTGATCGTACGTACATATTAATTTGACTGAATTCTTCAATTAATATGTCAATTAATAGTAAATAATAAGTATAATAATTATAAGTAAATAATACAATAGCATTAACAAGTAATATATTATAAGTCTTAGTTTCTCGTCTATATGCTATATCAGTCTTATCAAATTTGGCTTATTATTACTTGACTGCATTAGAGCTTGCAGCCAATCGCGGAAACGCTGATTTCTTTTATCTATTTAATTTCGATAAATTTGATCGAATTTGATTCATTTTTAGAATGCATTATTGAAAAAAAATTAAAGTTTCTCACATCACAAAGTATGTTTATAATGATAATAACTAAACAAAACAGTTTCATTAAGAGACCTATATATCAAAATATGAGGCGTTGAATGAAAAGAAAATAGATTGAAGTTAATGAAAAGAAACATTTGAAATTACATAATTAAAGAAAAGAATTAAGATATTTCATGATAAAAAAAACAAGCATTATAAGTAATGCTAATCAAACGAAAAATGAAATTAAACAAATGAAAAACTATGTTCGTATTCAATTGGAATATTTACATGAAATATCGAGGTCACGCAAATTTCATTTTATTTAATGAATTCCTTTTTTTATTCCCTTCGTCTTGAATTGGAAGGTTCTTCCCCTGCTTGTAATATTCTTTTCATTTCCCGAAAACCGCAAAGAAGTTCTGATAAAGTCATCATCGCATCATCAACAACGTCAATATCACTTTCGTCGTTTGTTTGTAAATGTATTCTTGGACCTGTAAAAAAAATTAAGTTAAGGTCTTGCAATATAAGGAACCTCTTTTTACAGATATTAACAAAATAATTGATAATTACTTAAAATTAATTTATCTTAAAAAATATTAATTTATTAACAGTGGTTTATAGAGTGTACTTCCTAATTATATTTTTCTTTTATTATTATTTATTATTTTTATAATAAATGTAAATGTTTTTTGGATTATTTAAATTTAGTATGTTTTTGTTTTAAATATAATCCACTTATTTATTTCTCTTTTTTACAAATACATTAGCTGTCGCCCGACAACGTTGGGCCACTTCATATGAGAATTTGAAGGAGATTAATTCCTTTAATTTAAAAAAATATATATGTTACAAAAATTTTTCATTTTTTTCAAAAGATCATTTTTTAGCGCGAAAATTAATTGTGTATTATGATTAAAGCATGGTTGCCGCATAATGTATTTACAACGATACATTCTACTTGGCAAACACGTGCGGTTAAATGTATTCGTGCCAAGCAGAATGTATCGTTGTAAGTACATTATGCAGCAACCATGCTTTAAGCATAATACACAATTAATTTTCTCGCTAAAAATGCGTTTTTGAAAATAATAAAATTTTTTGTAAATTATATATTTTTTAAATAGAAAAAAATCCACTTCGAATTCTCGTCTAAAGAGGCCCAACGTTGTCGGGCGAAAGCTAATGTATTTTTAAAAAAGAGAAATAAATAAGTGGATTATATTTAAAACAAAAACATTATATACTAAATTTATTACTTTTAATTATTTATTTATTATTTAATGTTTATTTATTTTATTTACAGTTTACGGAGTTTACTAAATCGTACATATGAACACAAAGTCTATATAAATTTTTTTGATTGTCTAAAAAATTGATTTTAATCGTCTTGCACTGTATAAAAAGGCGGAAAAAACTTAATTTTTAAATCCTAATAAATGTAATTAGTTAATAATGTTTTATAATTGACTTAGTATTAAATGTGAAATTGTTTGGTCTTAAACTTTTGCCCACCCTGCAGCGATTATCCATTTTACAAAAAGTTTTGTATTTTGTTTATTATTAAAGTTAAAAAGTTCAAAAAGGTCTTTCGAAAATTTACCTTGATTACAAATTCTTCCGGTCACAGATACATGTTGCCCTTTCTCGAAATTTGATACTCCTCTGAAGGACGCGATGCGTACCTCCAATTTATGGGAGCCGTTTGTTATGGATCCACATCCATACGTTCCAACTTGCTGTCCTACTCCAATCCTTTGCTCCACAAAATTAGTCTTGAGAAATGCAATCACTCCTATTAAATACAAAAGTAATTATGTCAGAAATAATATATATATATATATATATATATATATATATATATATATATATATATTATAGCAATATAGCAATAACTTTTGCCCACCCTTCAACGATAAAACACATTACAAAAAGTTTTGTATTTTGTTTGGTATTAAAGTTCAAAAGTTTAAAAAGGTCTCCCCTTAAAGCTCTTTTTCTAAGCTTTAACACTATAAAAACAGAAATTAAAAAAATAAATTTGTTAATGTTTAAAAAAATGTTATTGCAACATAAAATTTTTCAATTTTCTTTGATTTCTTTAAAGTGGTACAGTTTTTTTAGAAAATCATTGCATGTGAATCGCATTTATATTAGTTGAAGGATAGATTTAATACCTTTAAAACACATTTTTTAAAAAAAAATTTACGATAATTTTTAAGAATAATATGATCATTTGTTTAAAATAATAGCAATTTTTTTAATTGTTGATAACTCAAAAACAGTTTGTTTAAAAAAAAATTTTTTAAGAGCATAAATTGTTCATTTTTACATATAGAATCAGAAAATTTCTACGATTAATACTTAAAAATATAAAAAATGCAAAAAAAAAAAATTTTTTAAATACGTTAAAAAAATTATTTTCCAAAAAAAATTTTGTTCATTTTTTTCTGATTCTACATGTAAAAATGAAAAATTTATGTTTTCAAAAAATTTTTTTTAAATGAACCGTTTTTGAGTTATCAACAATTGAAAAAAAGCTAATCTTTTAAACAAATAATCATATTATTCTTAAAAAGTATAGTAAATTTTTTTTTAAAAATCACTTTAAAAAAACAAAGAAAATTGATAAATTTAATGTTGCAATAATATTTTTTCAACATTAACAAATTTATTTTTTTTAACTTTTAATTTTTTTAATTAATCGCTGTAGTGTGGGCAAAAGATTTTTAAGCGGCACTGTATATATATATATATATATATATATATATATATATATATATATATATATATATTATTATTATTACTTTAATTTGAGAAAAAAATATAAATTATTATCGTAAAACAGAATTATTGAACATTATTAATCACAGAATTCAGTACTGTAATATTTGTAATTGCAGATAAAACTAAATAAGAAAAAATGTATTTGGTAACTAATTAATAGGTAATAAATAATGTCACATTTAATAAAATTATTCGTAAATTGTATTTACTAATGGTTTTTGTTGAATCGAAATGAATGACATTCGGCAAATCCACTATTTCAATATCCTCATTCTCAATAACTACCAAATGCTGTCCCAAGGAGTTGATAATTGTACTGGAAAATAATTGTAGTTCAAACGGAACATTTCCCTTATTAAACTCAACTTTTGAAGGTACTCTTGCCCAAGCCCCATCGATATGCAATATCTACAAAATGAATAAATTTCATAAATTGGTCAATTATTTTTAATACGTGGGTAATTAAAAAAAGAATAGAAAACTTCACAAACAGTAACGACTTTAAAAATATACCTCATGTAGAACAATATGCTCTTCCAAAGCATTAATGTCTGCAGGCCCCCAAACGACGCATTGAATAGATTTTCCATTTTGGTTTGACAAATAGAATTTCAATAATTCGGAGGCACCTGCTGCTTTTCTAGGAATGATCTTCTCAACAAAACCAATAATTTCTCTGAAATTTAAAAAATATTATAAAAAAATATAAGACAATACAATTTATTCAAATGACTTGAATACTAAATGTCCTAAAAGTTTATTCACTTTAATTTGTATAGACGTAGGTATTATAAATATCTATGTAAAAATAAAATTTAAATTAGTAATAAATTAAAGTAATTAAATTAAATTTAAAAAGTATTGTATAAAATCAATACTTAATCCAAAAAAAAAAGTTTTGAGTTAGAAAAATTTTCAACTGTCAAAGAATTTTCATATCATCATAAATAAATTTTCTTAAATTTCAGAAACTTAATTGATCTTTTAAGTTTAATACATTGTAATTTCAAATTTTTATCACAAAAGTGTTTTATATAATAAATAATAACTTGTCGAAAATATGCATTAAAAAAATGCATTAAAAAATGCATTAAAAATGCATTAATTTTAAATGATTTTTAAAATAAAAATTTAAATGTATAATGGAATTTAAAAATAAATCCATTAGTTTTACGTAACGTACACTGTTCTATCCCAAAATTGGATTTCTTCTATTGCTTCAGACGAGGTAAATGAGACAGCCATGTTACAAAAAATATTAGAATCTGCAAAAGAATGTTAAAAATATTTTTTATTCACATGTAGAACATTTTTTAAACAAATAAGAAATAAATAAAAAATAAATATATAAACAAAACCACAAAACAACTGAAAAAATATTATTTAAATTTTAAAAATGACATAATGTTATCAATTTATTATTATTAATAATTTATTTATTTAATTATATTATTATTATTATTATTATTTTATTATTTATTTATTTATTTATTTATTTAATTTATTTAATTTATTTATTTTTATTTATTTTTATTTATTTTTTTATTTATCAATTTATCAATTTTTAAACGAGAATAAAAAATAAAATATTAATAAATGTTAAATTATTATTATATTATACAGTGTAATCAAATATATCCCTGCAATAATTAACACAAGAAAACTGCATTTTATGGAGTTAATTTACTCCATTTTTAAATAATTTAGCTTCCAGTAATAGCATTTAAAAAAATTAAATATTGTAAATTTTTTAATATTGAATTGAAGTAAATAATTTATAAAAATTATGAAATAATTAAATTTAACGTTACTAATATATGATCAGTTTCGAAAAATAATTATCGTATAAAATCTCTGTAAATTAATTTATTTTTAAAAAAATATAATTGAATGTTTGAAACCAGTAAATATAAAGACCATCTAGTTTGAAATTTATTCAATTAAAAAATCCTAAAACCTCAAAAAATTCTAGAATTAACAATCATTTCATTTGTATCACTATATACAACCAAATTTAATTATAATTCTAGTTAAGAATTATTAGTCTATAAGAAACCTTTTTCTAATAGTTAAAGAATAAAAATAATTTAAATAATTACATAATATGTTTTTCTTAAATTTTATTTTTTTATAAAACAAAAAAAGAAAAATTAGATATATTATAAAATATTTGGTTTTAATAATTTTGTATAAAATTTAAACGATAACTAAAAATTATTCATACATTTTGTAATATTTTAAGAGATTATTCATACAATTTAGTTATATTTCAAGAGAAAAAGAGATCAAGTTATTTGTGATATCCAACAGGGAAAATGTCGATATGTACACATCAGTGTATATAACATGAGTAGAGGTGAAAAAGGTTGAAAATGAGCATCAGAACTGTAAACATAATTCATGGATGACCCCTTCCATTATTAAAATATACATTTTAACACAATTTTTATCAAAATAATAATCAGAATTTGTAAAATAGATGTTTTCAAAATATGGAATATTTATGAACAATTTTGAAAATTAAGTACTTCTAGTATAAGTATATCGAAAATGAAAACTTGAATTTATATAAAAAATCAGAGGACAATCTATAAAATCTGTATAAAAATAATTCCAACAAAATATAATTATTTGTAATATTAATATATCAAGTTATTGTCTATTTAATATTTATTAGAAAAACTGTATCTTTATAGAAATTATATATGCAAAAATCTAGCCGTGAATTAATCATTGCGACTAAGGCACATATATATCAGTATATCAGTTACATATATATATATATATATGCATGTGTGTTGAGTTACATGTATAGATATGAAAATTAACGTATAAATTTATTAAATAGTTGTATATTTTTTAAATAAATTAGAAATATATACCATTGACAAACATTATAGATTCTAATTTTTAATATTTTAAACCTCTAGTTATTTAAAATAGCCAATTATAAAAATATAATTCAAAGTTTTTCAAGATACGTAAAATACTAATATAACGTTAAATAATTATAGTTTATAATTAAATAAAACATTAATAATTATTATCATGCGTATTTAAATGAAATTGTTTATAGTTATATACCAAATTGTTTACTCACCTTACGATGTAAGTCGATTACAAAATTTTTGTCTAGAGAAATGCACATGCGGTTCACACAATCAGATTCTTCTCACTATACTGTCAAGGTACACTACACAAGTCCTTATATTATGAATAATAAAGATCGCTAGATGCTGGTAGTAATGGATAACTTTAGAGGTTTTCCACCAGATGTCAGGTCATGCTACATACACTCAGTGTTGGGCAAGTAAAATACATCAAGTAAATTAGACTGTTTCATTTGTGACGTCACAGTAGATTCGAGATATGAAGTCAAAATAATGGAGAGACAATAATGTAGGCAACACAATGCTGTTCCTAGGTTGTGTCAAAAACAACTATACTGTACTGTAGTGCAAAATTAAAAAAAACTGCCACCCTACAAGAAAAAACATGAAGGCATGAGCAATATCGAATATTGAAATTATCAGTTTGCAATAAGAAACTCGAATTGCGATTAGCAACCTCGAGAAGCGATAAATCGAAAGCAAAGACATATACATGGAACTTTTATTTTTGAGCATAAAAGATAGTCCAGAAATGAAAAAGTAATTAATTTTAATATATTCCATAGTAATTTAACCGCATGATATTCTATACCTGAATTCTACAAATTACTGTTTTAAGGGGACATTCCAGTTCAAATTGTAAAAAAAATTGATTTTTTATTTTTTTTATTTTTGGATTTCTTATAGTGTCAAGAATACTCTCCAAAAATTTTATTGCAAAATTCGAAGTAAAACAAAAGTTATGCATATTAACTTATTCTTCGGCATGTCAAAGATGCTTTTATATGCGGATAAGCAGAACCCAATCGAATGATTTCAATGATTTCTTATTTGCATTTTGTAAAATGACAAACAAAAATGTATTTGGTATTGCTGATCATAAATTAGATATCAAATTTTAGAAATTCAAAATGGCGGTTCCAATATGGCGGAAGAGAAAATTAAAAATCAAGTGTATTTGCGTCAAAATAGTTGCTCGGGAGTTTTTAGGGTCGCTGATTACGAATATGATATTAGATTTTTAGAATTCAAAATGGCAGATCCAATATGGCGGCCAATTTTTTTAAAAAATAATCGGATTTGCTTAAAAATCGTTACTTGGGGGTTTTCGTGGTTATTGATTACGAATCTGACATCAGTTTTTAAAAATTCAAAATGGTGGATCCAGTATGGCGGGCAATTTTTTAAAATTAATCAATTTTGAATTTCAAATATCTATTATCATACTCGTAATCTACTACTCCAAAAACCCCCGAGTAACGATTTTCAAGCAAATTCGGTGATTTAAAAAAAAATTGTTGGCCATATTAGATTTTCTATTTTGAATTTGAAAAATCTAATAACATATTCGTAATCAGCGACCCCAAAAACACCCGAGTAACGATTTTCAAGCCAATCCGATGATTTTTTTTAGAAAATTGTCCAAACTTAGCAATCAAAACTTTAAGTGCGTTTATCTCAAAATGTCTTTTATTGATCTGTTAAGGGGAGGTTCCCATTGCGGGAGTCAAAAAAATTGATTTCTTTTTTATTGTATTTTTTAAAGCTATATATATGTAGAATATGTGTGTATAGTGATTTTTTGATCCGAAGAATATTTTCGTTTTAATGGAGTCTTGAACTCATCGCCGTCCCGAGCACTGAGTAACAAATGCCAGGCAAATCGAATCAATTTTTAAAAATTTTGCAAATCTGACCTCAGAATCGTAAAGAGCGACCCAAAATACCTATAGATATTTATCATATACGCAAATTAGACAAAGAATTGCAAAGAATACAATTATTGCACAAAAATGTTTCTCAAACTTTAAACGCGTTTTTCTCGAAACAAGATTTTTCAAACTGGTGGGCATCGTAGCGTCTAAACTATTTAATCAATCAACTTCGGATTTGCGGCTAATTGAAGGTAACTAAATTCTACTGGGGTTATACCTATAATATGATAAAATTGTTAACAAAAGAGATTTTTACAAGAGGTCAAATATGGAAAAATAATGCAAAAACGAAGCTTTTTTAAAAATGTGTCCGACATTTTGTCATTTTATTAACTTTTTAACTATTTTTTAGGTATAACCTATTCTTTAGGATGTCACCTTTATAAAAAATTTTGAGTTTTTGTTTTAGACTAAAAATTGCGCAGTGTAGAATGCCCACCGTTTTTCCTATTTAAAAAAACATTATTTTCTAGATGCGCCATATTGGCCGCCATTTTGCATTTTTTTGAAAATAAAATATATATTTTAAAAGTTCAAGAATGTATCTTTATTTAGAAAAAAAATTACATCGTTAAGTCATAGCCGTTCCTCGCAAAAAATTGTCAAAATTTGTGTTTATTTTGGCCCCCGCAATGAGAACCTCCCCTTAAGAGTGATATCTCGAGTTCTTATGAAGCGATTTTGAAAAATCAAACGGCATTTGATTCATTGTCATCATGTCTATAAGTAGAACCTCAAAAACTGGAAAATTTCCAACTCCCCTTTTTTATAAGAGAAATTCTGAATAAAAACACCTTTTTTGCATATTTTGGAGGAAAAGTACTCTAAAAAAGAAGGGAAAAAATTCCTCTTTTTGAGGTTCCACACCTAAAGAAATATCTAACGAAGAGAATGTCACTTCGTTTTTGGTTTTATCTATTTTAGAAAGTTTGAAATCGATCTTACCATAAGAAATGGACATTTTTGAAAATGGCGTATATCGCCGCCATTTTGAAGTAAAAATGAAAATTTTTTTTTGCATAATCTTAAATAAATTATTTGTCATATGTAAAAGGAATTTTATAAATAAATGTCATAGTTATTTTAATAATATATATACTAAAAAGGCCTTGTTTTTTCTTGTTTTGAACTGGAATATCCCCTAATTAAACATGTTTATTTAAACTAAGGGATTAAAAGTTGTATTTCTAATAGTTTTTTCAACATTTATTTTTTAAATACCGTAAATGAGGAAGTACCCAAACAAATTGAAATTTTAATTAATTTAAAATTTCAAGGAGAATTGACTGGGAAAATTTTTGGATGAGAAAACATAAAATTGATGATATTTTATTAAAAATCAACCTAATATGTGTCTTGAAGAAAAATGATAACACAACATTAACTTAGACAAATTAAATAGTTGTAAAGAAATGTTCTTTGACGTTTACAGGCTGCTTTTGTTACGATTTCAGTCCCACAACGCCAGCATGATTAAAAGAGAAGACTAAAATTTTTCTTTTTAGTTGTCGACTGATAAAACAGTTGTTAACTCCATGGGACAGCACATCTAAGTACAAAATAAATACTTTTTTACAAATATATATATATATATATATATATATATATATATATGTATATAAATAATAAATATTTTTAGAAAATATAAAAAGAAAACAAAATGTAACATTTTAAAATTTATAAGTTGCAATAAATATCTTTCATTGATCAGAATACAAATTTTTATGAACTTTCAAAAATAGACTTATTTTCAATATCACCAGTTTGTTCCAAAACTTCAGTATAAACATAATTTTTTATTAACTTATTGCTTCTGTGGTCTCCTAAATATATTTTAACTGAATCAAATGATCGTACTCTAGATAACGCTACGTATAATTGTCCATGATTAAAAACATCTCTCCTTAAATCAATTGCTATCTTATTGAATGTTTGTCCTTGGGATTTATTAATAGTCATTGCAAATGCCAGTTTTATAGGAAATTGTCTTCTTTTAAAAACAAAAGGATAAACATTCTCACAATACAAAGTTATACGATGTAAAAAGACAATATTTCCACACTTATCTCCAGTCAAAATTTGACATTTAATTACGTTATTTAATAAATCTAAGATTAATAATCTTGTTCCATTACATAAACCCTCATTGATACTAAGATTTCTTATGAGCATCACCACGCTATGAATCCTTAAATGTAATTCATGAGGTGGTAAAACCGGTGGTGATAGACCATTTAAATATTCAGGTAATATCACGTCATTAAAATCACCATTGTCACAATTTTCAGTGGAGTCAATACTTTTATAAATTTTTTCTTTATCACTTTTCAACAATTGCACAACTCTTTTATTAATTTCATCAACGTCAACATTTCTTGGTGCTAAAATTGCACACTTTGCTATTTCTTGATACCTATTTTCCCGTATTAAATCACCATACACATCGTCAACAATATCTACATTTCCTTCTTGAATTATTTTTTCCGGCAATTCAATATTATCATTTATATCATTTAATTCACCATTTCCAACCTTTAATAAAAAATCTGTAAATGCAGTTTCTTCGGGCAAAACTCTCATATTTTCTGATAAATTGAATTTTTTAAAATGCTTCCAAACTTTACTGTTTTTTATTGATAAATTAACAATTTCTGATCTTGTGCCTCGTTCTTTTATTGGTAATGTTTGTCGGAAATCTCCACCCAAAATCAATACCTTTCCACCAAAAGGTTCATTTGATTTCATAACATCTCTTAATAATCTATCCATAATTTCTAAAGCATATTTTGGAGCCATTGGTGCTTCATCCCAAATGAATACATCAGTACCTTTTAAAAAGGTTCCTTCTTTTGATTGCACTTTAATACTTGAAGATGAATCACTATACAGAGGAACAGGTAAACCTAATATTTTATGAACAGTTTTACCATTAGGTAATAAAGTTGCAGCAATTCCTGTAAATGCCATGTTACAAACATTTTTTCCTCTACTTCTTAATAAATGCCACAAAGTATTATATAAAAAAGTTTTTCCAGAACCACCTGGACCATCAACATATATACACCTACAATTACTTGTAACAGAATCATGCACTGATTTTAGTACATAATCAACAACAATTTTTTGCTTTACATTTAATTGCATGTATTTCTCATTTCCTAAAATAATGTGTCTTTGAACATTATAATCATTATTTTTTTCTGAAATATTCTGTTCATCTTCTATATCTAACAATCCTTGAAAATCTGTTAATCGATATCCTTCATTACTCAATAATGTTTTAATATCTCTGTAAGCTTTATTTTCTGCTTCAACACTCTCAATTCCTCGATAATCTTCTGACATAATACCTTTAAATCGTTCCCACAATTCATTGGGTTCAACAGGATTACAATGTATTAAAATTCTAACAAATAATCGACGAAGTAACTGAGGCATCATCCATACTGCAGCTTCTTCAATTGTTCTAACCCACTCATGATCGTCTTCTATTAAGCCTAATGCTAAACAAGCAGAAGTGAATGTTTCATGTATTACTCCATCAACTGATTTTAAATCTTTAAATGAAGTAGCACCTTTTGTTGTAAGCAACAACAATCTCAAATGAAATAATTCTATTTGACTTGGACTAACAGAATATATTCTCCCTATTATATTGTCAAAACGCTTTCTTGGTCGCCATTCAAGAGAATCACTTATCCATGTGTAATGTTCGGGAATTTCTGAATAATAATACCGATGAGCATTGCTATCGCGTTTATTCAAATCAAAATAATCTAACAGTTTTGTTTTCTTTTCTAAAAGAAAGGAAATCTCACGATTTTCTTGTCCTTCACGAATAATTACATTCTGCTCATTTGGTAAATGTATAGGTAACCGATTAACGCTGTGACTCTTTTTTGCTAAAGGTTTACTAAGAATTCTCCATACTGCTTCAACTGGACCGACATATCTGTTTTCTTCATAATGACGTATCTCGTTGTAATCGATACTATTTTGTCCATCAACATTTGTAATAATAATAGAAGCTGCATCATGACCTTTATAAATATACTTATATAAATATTTAACAGACTTAATACTTGAAACAATTTCGACGTTAATATGACAATTAAATATTTGTGAAAGCACTGGACAATAGGGAACAACATGTCTATTATCAACAATATATCCATTTGGTCTTTCATATGTCTTGCCTGTATCCCTTCTACGGTATAATACATAGGAATTATCTCCCATTATTGTGTC